GGCTGACAACATGCACCTAAAGAAGCATGGTGCTTTCAGGAGCTGCCCCAGGGCACGGTGAGGGGGGCCGAGGGCCACTGCCAGATGGTCTGTGATCAGGTGAACAGGAAGGAGCCACCCACATGGAGGCCTGATCAGATGGGGTAAATGGGGAGCACAAAGGCCCGCAAGTATAGAGTCCATGGAATAAACAGAAGGGCAGAGGGGAGGCTGAAGGGAAGGGAGGGTGCAGGGGTCTCAACTGTTCGGGAACCAGGAGCAAGGACTTTTTCAAGAAGACTACAGAGTTGGGGCGCCTGGGTGGCTCAGTGGGTTAAGTGTCTGCCTTCAGCTCAGGTCATGATCCCAGAGTCCTGGGGTTGCGTCTCGCATCGGGCTCCCTGCTCAGTGGGGAGTCTGCTTCTCTCTCTCCCTCTGCCTGCTCGGCTCATGTTTTCTCTCTCATGTTCTCTCTCTCTCATATAAATAAATAAATATTTTTAAAAAGAGAGAGAGATTTAAGCTGGCCAATGACATCATCTTCAAAATAGGATTGGGGGAGTGATTCAATCTATGTTCTGTGTTTAAAGAAGAAAATTTATTTATTAATGAAAAACAACACAATTTTAAAAAATATGATCTAAATCAGCACTGAGTATCACAAACCCCCAAAATTATGGAACCCTCCAAATAAGATAGATTTTTTTTCCCTTATTCACACCCAAGAAGTCTTGAGGTGGGCAGCCCAGGGAAGGTGTGTGAGCCAAGCACCAGGAACACAGGCTCCTTCTGTCTTTAGCTCTGCTGTATGAGACTCCCAGGCCAAAGGTCCCCTCATGGGCCAGCGTGGCTGCTGGAGCTCTGGCCATTACATCTGTATTCCACCCAGCGGACAGGAGGAAGTAATAAAGAATGGCTCACCCCCTCCATTTCAGGACCCTTCCCTGATGTTGCACGCCCCCTTCCACTGCCAGAATGTAGCCACCCGGGCACCCCTAGCTGCAGGAGAGCCAGGAAACACAGCTTCTCTTCTAGAAAGCCATTTGCTGAGCTAAAAATCAGCAGTCTGTGACAGAGGGAGAAGGGAAGAACCGACAGTGAGGGTGACCATGGACCCTGCCACCTGGCTGCCCAGGACAAGGGCTTTGCTGGGTACAGATGCCTAGGGATGACAAGCAGAGTCAGCCCCACCCTGCTGGGGGGAGGGGTCGGGGCTTCAGGAGGAAGCCACCTGTCACTGCTCTCTCTCCATGGTCCCAGGCGAGTCCCTCCAGGCTGGCCAGCCTGCCACCCACATGCTCTGTTAATGGCTAACCAACATTCCAAAACATGGATGGCCGTAACTCAGTGTCTCTTTCATGGTGGACACTCCCTTCATCTGTTTCTGGGGTTCAGAGCCCTCTGGGGCTCGCTGCATCTTACTGGGTGGCCTCGGCGGGTCACGTCTCGCTGGGGGACTGTGGGAGGTGGGGCAGACACCTGCGTGCGTGCCCACGTCACACTACCTGGCCTGTTACCATCCCTGCCCAGGCATGCCTGCGTGACCTTGGCACACGCCTCTCTTGTCTTTAAAGTGGGGGTGATGGCACAGCACCTCCTCATCGGCCTGGCTGTCTCCCTCTAACCTTCTGGACATAGAGTGGCAACTCCCACCTCCTGGCTCTGAGCCCCCATCTGGTGGGAGCTGTGGTCCCTGCAAGTACCTGACAGACGCACAGAGCCTGGGCCCACCCGCTGCCGTGTCGCGGTCCCAGGGTGTGCCAGTTGCCGTCGGCTCTCCCTGACGGTGGGCATGTGCGGGCCGGACCGAGCACAGGCTCGCTCAGCTGGGGCGCCTGGGGCGTGCCAGGCCACATTTCCCCCACCAGCCCCTCCCTGCGTAAAATGGAAACACCGCCCACAGGGATCCGCGCCTCGCAGAGACAGAGGGGCCAGAGACCCTGAGACTGCCTAAGTCTCTTGCTGGGGAAACGTGGCCTGTCTGCACACACATCCTCCCAGCCCACAGTGGCGCACTGTGCTCTCCCCGTGGTAATGCGGGGACACAGCTCTGGGGGGTTGGGGGGGGTGGGTGAGACCAGAGTCCCTCCCCACCAGGAGGGATGTTGCTCAGGTGTCCTGGGCTCTGCCCACCTGGGGCATGGAGCTGTCCCACTGCCCGGCTGAGTCATCACTGCTGGGGCCTGCTCCAGGTGATGGAGGCCGGCAGAAGCTCCACAGCCCCCACACGCCGGACACTGGCCTTGGTGTCAAACGGGCTGGGACGCTTCATCTTCACAGCATCCCCATGTGTCAGACAGAAGTGTGTCCCTAGCACACAGCTCTGTGGAGACGCTGTGTGCAGCTGTGTCTGAAGGTATGTGCGGCTTGGGCGTCCCCGTGTCTCTGCGGGAGCACGGCCAGCCCACCCCTCCCCGGCCCACCACCTCTCCGGGGACGCTCCCCATCATTACTTGTCCACAGACCCTCAGCTCAGTTCAGCATCCCGGACCCACCTGGCCGCCCCTGCCGGTCTCTGCAGGAGGATTTGAAACCCTTTTGGTCTATGCTGGAAACAGTCTGGGAAACACACTTCCCAGGCAAATGAGGATAACACAACAGAGCCAGGAAGTCCCTCCCTGAGGGTACTCCAGGGAGGGCAGGCCTGGAGGGCAACCCGCAGCTGTGGTCCCCGCGACGCTGACCCCAGGAAGGTGAAATGTGGGGGCCTACAAACCCAGGTGCAAATGCTGAATTGTTACACCAGAATCCTTCCTGACTTCCTCCTTCTGGATGGAGCAGACGGTGAACCTCAGCTCTGAGCTGCCCTGGGGCCTGCAGGAGAAATGCTCTGGATGGCAGACCCAGTGCCACCCCCAGCCTTCTGCCTGCAGCCCCCACATGGCCCACAAGACCCTCTCACCTGCCGAAGGGGCTGAGGCTCCCCGGGTCCTCTCCTCTCCCCACCCCTCCCCTCCCAGCCTCCCCTGCACCCTCAGGACCCTCTCTCTGGCCCCTCCAGGAGCTGGCGCCGCCCCTAGGTGGGGGGGGTGCTCCTGTGTGAAAGGTGTTAACATTTAAAACTCGGGGTTTCCAGCGGCGTGTTTGCAGTCAGGTATGGGCTCCGTGAGAAGAACTGCCCTCGGGTGCCGTGCCCATGCCCGCCCAGACCCCGGGGCACTGCGGAGTGCCCACTCACAGGCGGGAAGCAGGACGGGGGGGGGACAGAGGCACTGACCAGGTCCCCGAGCTTCAGTTCCCTCCGCCTCCCGCTGGGCCGCCGCGCCCTGGGACGGTCCCCGCCGCGGTGCCACCACCCAGCAGGTGATGCTGCCCCCCACACCAGGGAGGAGAAGAAGGCCAGCAGGAGGGCCCAGACCTGGTTTAGTGGAAGATCCCTTTTCTTGAGAAATACTCCGGGTGACGTGCGTTTTCCATGCCTTCGGTTTCACTTATAAAACTGCTCTCCCAGCAGGGGTGAGGCGTGGGGTTAGGGAGGGGAGGTCTCAGCCTGGAGTGTGGCCAGGACCCTGGGCAAGGCAGGCTCTGGGTTCTCAGTCCCACGGTGCCCACCTGCTGTCCATGCGGACCTGGGGGAGCGTTCCGTCTGCTGCTTAGACGGCCCACAACCATCCCAGGAGTTCTGAGCTCATCCTCCGGGGCCTCTCCCCAGCTGCACCTCACTTTCGTCCCCTGCCAGGTGACGGGGAGAGCCCACTTCCCAAGGCTGTAAGACAAGCCACGCACCCGGCCGCAGGCAGGGCCGCCCCACAAGCTGCGGCCCCCTGGGTCTAGAACAGGGCCTGGCTTACAGTAGGCATCCCATGCTGACCAGGGTGAATGAACAAGCCTCCAGCTCAGCGACCTAACTTGCTGCTGCCTGACCTGGGGCACTGCTGCTGACCTTCTTTGATGTCAGTTTATGGGCAGGGCAAAAGATCAGCCCACAGGGCCTAAGAAGACCACTCCCCCATCACAGATCAGGAAGCTGACACGGACAGGTCCAGCCACCTGCCCCAGCCCACCCAGCTAGATGGTTCAGGGTTCTAGAGTCCGGTAGCCTGGCACCTGCTCGGCCCTGAGAGGGACCGTGGCATGCCCCAGAGCCGCTGGTGGCCGCGCGCGCTGCACACTAGGGGTGCCCGGGGGGAGACATCAGTAGACACTGCGGCAGAAGTGGGAAGAAAACCAGCTGGGCCTGGCTGCGAGCTCAGGGTCAGGACCAGAGGACACAGTGGCCGGGTCTTCGCAAACCAGCCCCGGGAGGTAACGCCCGGCCCCTCCCGCCCCTGCGGCCCCTCCGCACCCGCCTGGCTTCGGATGCCTGGGAGCGGCCCGCGTGCCCTGGGAAACAGGACCCGATTGAGCCAAGGGCTGGGGTAGCCGACGCGCTCTGGACACCCGCCGCGGCCCGCCCGGGCACGGGGCGCCACCCCAGGCACCGGGGCCTGCCTCCCGCCAGGGGGCACGGAGGCTGCGCCAACAGGGCGGGGGCCGGCAGCAAGCGGGCCCAACCCGCGGCGTTGGCCCTCTGCCTCCCCCCACCTCCCGAGCGTGCGGGAGGCCAGGCTCAGAGGCTGGGGGACCCAGGGTCAGGGAGCCCAGGGTGCGGGCCGGGCTTCCCGGCTTCGCGGCACCCGGAGAACCCCCACGCCGTGGCCGCGGCGCGCTCGCATTCCTGGCACGCCCAGCAGTTTGCGAAGTGGCCCGGGAAAGGCTGGCTCTTGGCCTCGTTTCACAGATTAAAAGTATCCACGACTGGGGCAGAGCGGACGTGCCAACGCCCGCGCGAGGCCCGGGCCTGGGGGGACCGCGCCGCCCCCGCTGAACTCGCCGGAGCCCCCTGCGGTGGGGGGGGGTCCTGTGGGTCCCGCGGGCCCCCGCCCCTGCCGGGGGCGGAGTCCGGGCGCGGCGGGGGGGCCGGGGACGGAGTCCGAGGCGGGCCGGGGGCGGAGTCCGGGCGCGGCGGGGCGGGCCGGGGGGCGGAGTCCGAGGCGGGCCGGGGGCGGGCCGGGGGCGGGCGCGCAGCCGGGGCCCCGCGACCCCGGCGCGGGCGGCGCTCAGGCCCCGAGCGAGGCGCCTCTGGCGGCCGCACCATGGAGTCGGGTCCCGAGGAGTACGAGCTCAACGGCGACCTGCGCCCTGGCTCGCCCGGCTCGCCGGACGCCTCGGTAAGCCCCGCTACGCTCGCGCCGCTGTACGATCTTGGCCGGTGCCCGCCCTCTCTGGGCCCCGCGCCCGCGGCTCCCCAGGCACCTACCTGGGGGCGCCGGCCGGCTGCGCGCCGCTTCCGCACTGCAGGGTGCTGGGGTCCTCGCGCCCCGTTCGTCCCGTGTCGTCGGTCCGAGCGGTGGCGCCGGGGCTCCGGCCACTCCGGCAGGGGCGAGGGTCCGGCTGGGAAGAGCCCACGCCGAGCCACGAGGTGGAGGGGCCTGGGCGCCACCTTCCCCCGCCTTCCGCGCGGGCCTCTAACTCCGGCCCCCGCATCTCCTCCCGCTGCTGCGCGCCGAGGCGCGCGGGATCCCAGCCTGCGGGCCCCACGCCAGCAGCGGGCAGACGGTTACGTCACCCGCCGTGTCCACCGCGACCGCGCTGTCTGCTGCTTGCCCAGGTGGGGAACCTGGGGCGGCTGTGGCCCCCGCTCCTGTACCCAGCGCAGGCCCTGGGGCAGTGGTCCCGACTCCCACTTGAGGGGTGGTTGCGCCCCTCCGCCCCGGGGTCCTGTCCGGGGGTGCCATGCCTCCTTCCCAGGGCCCAGCACTTCCCCAGCGCCTCTGTTTGTGGTGCGGTCCTGGGCATGGCCCTCCGGTGACTTGTTGACTTTGAAAATTCTTTCACTTTCTGACCCCCCTGGGGATGGGGGCAGGGACGGCCGTCTCTGCGCTGAGTGAACCAGACTGGGGCAGCGCTGCCCGAGTGTGGGAGGACATGTGGGGTGAGTGAGCTCCCCCGGGGGCAGGCGGAGGCCCTCCTGTGTGCGGGTGGCCCCATGCAGTAATCTTGTCCATCTTCCCTGTTTTTGGTGGAAACCTGCGGCTCAGCCTCCGTGCTGACCCATCAGTAAAGCTTGACAGCCCTGGGGTGGCACAGGACGTTTGTCCCTGGGTTGGTGGTGGGGAGGCCTGCACAGTGGGGACGGTGGCACCAGGTACAGCAAGACCGGAGTGGCGGGTGGCATGGCGGTGTAGGGAAGGGTGTCCCAGCAGAGGGGGGACTGCGACGGAAAGGCCCAAGGGCTGGACCACCAAGGAAGTCAGGGCTGGGGAGGAGGCGTGTATGACAGCAGGTCAGGCCCCTCCGTGGCTCCGAGAGCCAGCGTGGTGGTC